CTTTTGACTGGAGCGCGTATTTCCTTCCTTGGTTATAGGTTTTTAATAAGTTTAACAGTGTTTGGACTGTTTTGTTATCACTGTTGCCACTTTGTGATCAGGCAAGACCATGGTTTCGGTTCCCCAAGCGAACCTCATCAGTTGCCTGATTGGCTTTGTGCTTAGTTGCTTTTTACAAAAGCAACTTTAGTTGTTCTCTTTTGTGGCTAGAACGGTACAGCCGTTCTTTCTACTGAGCCTTGACCTTGAGCATTAATACCCGCGTGGCGGATCGAGCGGCAATCAAGCCTGGCAGAGGAGTCAAGTCGGAAGTCGGAAGTTAGAAGTGGGAAGTGCGAAGAAAGAAGTGGGAAGTTGGAAATCGGAAGTCAAAAGTCGGAAGTCAGAAGTCAGAAGTGGAAAGTGGGAAGTAAGAAGTGGGAAGTTGGAAATCGGAAGACGGAAGTCGGAAGTCACAAGTCAGAAGTGGGAAGTGGGAAGTAAGAAGTGGGAAGTGGGAGGTCAGAAGTCTAACCATGCAGCATTGAGTCTCAACGGTCAGAAATCAGAAATCCGGAGTTCGTATCGAACTTTGTCAAGTCTGAAGTCTGAAGTTTGAAGTATAAAGTCTTAAGACTGAAGTCTGAAGTCTGAAGTCGGAAGTCAGAAGTCGGAAGACCCTGCTCGGCTTTCGTAGTAAAAACCCGCGATTATGAACTGCAGTTTCCCAAGTTAGCCTAAATAGGTTATTACATAAATGGTAATTAGAACAAATTTAGGTCCGGTTATTTAGGACATTAAATAGATTCTTATTTTCAGAAGAAAAAAGTATATTGTAGCTTAGGGTATTTGCTGGTATTCCGCTTATTCCTTATCTGGATACCATTACATATATAATTTGTAGTTGGAGTGATAAGGCACGTATGTCTCTTAAGAGGATACTGAATGTGCCCAAATGTACAGAAGCCAGGGTGTCCAGCGGCATGGTTGCTCAAAAAAATAGGAAAATAGGAAACTCAGGATTGAGAAAATAGGAAAAATAGGAAACTTTGCATTAAAAATAGGAGAAAAATACGAAAATCAAAAGTACCTTTGTCAACAAAGATAGTTTGCACCCCATAATGGTAATATAAAGGCTACGAGTCCTCAGATTCTATGTTCACAGGATTTAGATCAACTTTCGCGGCTAAGAAGGAGTGAAAATGATCAGTAACGTTTTAGTTTATTGGCTCAGTTACGATGTATTTAATCAGAATGATATAATTGACTACAGGTCGAGCATAGTTCTATAATCAAAGGTGATCATATGGAAATTCCCTTCAAGTTGATTGCAATTCTTTCAAAAGCTTTGAAGAGTGAAATTTCTTAGGATAGAAATTTCTTACGATTGAGTCATCATTGAAGGATATAGAAAAATGTCCTATGGAAAGCTTTCCTTCCATTAATCTGCAATCGGTGGCTGGTTGAGAATATGCTTGTTTGAGTCAAAAGACCGCATAATTTTAAGTACGGAACCGGCTCTCCGCGGTGTATGCAAAATGACATTGATCTACTTGGTACCAGATTGTAATTGTGTCATGGTTAAGTTCTAAGAAGAATATAACACTCTGCTTAGCCATGACTGCAAGACCGATTTTACAACCAAAATATTGGATCCTTCACCAGTCGCTTAGGTATAGCTGTTAACAAGGGCTCACCAAGAGAGCTATTGCCGTAAACTAAACTTTAGTCTGTTCTTTTCATGTAACATCCAGAATCAGCTAGTGATTGGTTTTTTAAAGAAGCTGATTGGATGATTTATCTGGCCTGTGTCGTGAGAGGACAACTTGATCCTGTCATTCGGTTTCAAAGATGAACGTAAAAGCAAACAAGACTTCAAAATAAAATATAGCATGTACAGATACTGAAATGCAGTTTCAGTGGGCTATGCAAAATATTTCACAATTATTCCTGGAGCCCGAATGGGCTCTGATTCAATAGCGTCCGAATGGGCTATTGACTCAGAGGCCATGAGGGCGAGAGGAATAATTATTGTTTTAGTAAAATCCAACTAGCTGGTCAAAAATGTCGAGAATAAAAAAAAATTACCTAGTTAAAGCTAGATTTAAACATTTTTTGCCGCTAAAAAGCCCGCACTTTTCGCTACTGGTGGGCTATAACATATAGCCTAGTAGTAGCTCAACCAATCACAACGCAGCACTGATAATAGACCACTACAGGAGCTCCTGACCACTAGCTGGACTTTACTAATATTCAATAGTCATGAGGACTATAACACTTCATACAATACAGAAAAATTATACAAAAAGTAACAAAAAAAAATGTTAACAGAACTCTAACAGGCAATAGAGGTCATGGAGAGAACAAACGTAACTGTCATTTTTACTAATATTAGAACATCAAAGTCAACATGCTACTTGCTTCATGATTAATTACACTCAAAAACACATACAACTATAATTCCATTTTCAATTTTGTTACAAATTTTGGCTTCACCAGCTAAAAAAATGGGAAAAATAGGAGGTTTAAGTTTAAAAATAGGAGAAAATAGGAACAGGCTCAAAAAATAGGAAAAAATAGGAACTGGACACCCTGGGAAGGGCACGCCCTTGCGAGAGGCAATTCTCACTCGCTCTACTAGCCCTGACGTAGACCTGTGAAAACAAGACGCGTATACTGTACGCTTTTGGTGGTCATATATTTTCCACGCTGAGTTTATAGCTCCTATTAAACCAAGTATAAAATATAAAAGACAGTCGTTTCGGCTTTCAATGAAAGCAAAGTTCATGATGAAAAAGGAGGGAGCCCCTCCACTCAGAAGTCGCTCCAACTACCCTTCCGTGCCCTTCTAGGAGATTCGTCCGTCATTTTGTCTTTTTTCGTCATAGACGCGATTCATTTTTTGATTAGGCCACAGGCAGCCCAATAATAAGGGACTAGTTTTTCTTTAAAAGTTTTATTTGAAACCGAATTACCCATTGTCTACATCTAAGGCCAACAAAACATTCTCCTACCAGCGTCACGAAAACGTCCCCCGTTTTACAAAGAAAGGAAACTACACCATTACGAGCCGATTACCAATTACTCAGATTACTGATTTTAAGGAAACGGCAAAGGAGCGCAGAAAAAAGTTTCTCCCTTAGCCGCCATTTTTTCAGTCGTTTGTGGTTAAGTCCGCGGAGGCAATTTTTTTTTTCCATGGGAGATTATAGTTATAAAAATAAAGGAAAACGAGAAAGGGTTGACTCAAAGTTATAGCACAAATGAAGGTTCCGGGTAATCAGCTCCTGAGAGCATCAAATCATCACAGGTACATCAAAAGCATTTACAATTTATTTAACTCAGTCTGTACATTATAAAATTTTTCTCTTTGTTGAGGGAGACTTCTCTTCATGCAATTTGGAGCCATTTTTGTTTTTTCTCTTGAGGGGCGATGGTGAATCAGTGAATAGTGTTATAGTTTTTCTTTTTCTTGGTGATGCTGTGTCACTGTAAGATGAGTTGTCCTGTGACTCTTGCCTCTTTACAGCCTTGGTGAAAGGGTTTTCTTTGAAACAAAGAGACAAAATGTCAAGTGCCTTTCAGACAAATGCAACATTTTCGCAGCATTTGTGCTGTTACCAGAGGCGTAGCCAGCTTTTGGACTAGTTGTAGGCCTGGCTGACTGTCATTTCCACATATCCTGAAAATTGCACGCATGACTAGTTAATGCACTGACCTCACCAACACTTTGAGATCTCAAGCTTTTTAGCTCACCCCAACAACACATAATTTTTTTTCAAGCGGTAGAGTGATCAAACCAAGAATTTTTAAGCCTGGGCCTACAGGTCTAAGAGCTGTCTATGCCCCTGGTTACAACATTTCTTTGTTGTCAAAATGTTAACCCTTTAAACCCTAATACCCACATACAAATTCTCTGCACTGATCTCCATACATTTCCTTACAAAATCAGTTGAGGGAATTCGATGAAAGATCAAACCATTTTCCCTCTGTGGATCATTTTACCAGTTCCCACAACCTTTCCTCATAATTATTTATTGATGCTGTNAAACTCGGTGATCGAATGATAAAACAATTATTGAACTCGGTTATCGCAAAATATCGTGATTTGTCATTGTCTCGCACGCCACAGACAAATCACATTGCTCAACCTCGTCCAATAATTGTTAATTATTTTGCCAGCTATTCTCGCTGATCGTTGCGGATCACCTTTTAGCTTTGTGTTGGAGAAACTTTGCGGATTCTTGCTCCCTCTCCTCCCTCCCTGCTGTCATGTCTAGGTGCGCAGGTAAGTATGTCACTTGATAAGTATCTCTTCCACTGAGTATTTTTCTCAGTGTGACGGTGCCAGTTAGCAGCTGCTCGCAAGGGTGGTTCCCGCTTCCAGGGTTGCCTGGTTACCTCTTTGCCTTATTTTTGGCATTTGACCTCCCCCGCTAACCTTTTAGGCACCAGTTCCCAAGCTCATCAATTGGCGATGACTTAAATGCACTTCATCTTGTCAATGGAACCTTGTGACTGTTTCAACCAGCATAATCTCAGCATTTCAGGACATTCTCTCAACCAACATTGTAACAATATTTCGAAAGTTTAACCCAGTACCCAGGGGAAAGCTTACATAGAGTTGTGTTGCTGAGGCCTTCAAACACTGACTCTTTCCAAGACAAAATCTTTTCATTTTTGCTTCAGTGTTTAAAACAAAAAACCTTATAATAAGATGAGGAGCACTTGTTTACCATGCACATGCATAAAATGTTGTGAATAAAGTACAGACTAACACCCACCCTGACTCTCATGGCTGTCCAGCAGCAGTTCCAGGCCAAAGAAGGGGTTGCTCCACCCCCACCACCACTCCTTCAGGAGTCCCTGTTTGTTCTCGAATTATGAAAACATTCCCTCAAAATACATTGCGAGAATGTGGTGAGGAGTTGAAAAGAACTTTACGAAAAGTAAGACCACTTTATAATCTTGTACAAACAGCCACTAAGAGTTCTATAACCAAACTTCCTTTCCCCAGAAAAACTTTGTTGAGATAAACTTAGGGTGCTTTTTATTTGTCAGAGCTGACCGGCCAGACCATTCTCATCATAATGAGAATTTCACTTATAATCTAAACTACATCCAGATCTATCAAATCCTTAATATTATGCACGAAGGAGATGGTTTTTCAGCAAAAACTCTTGGAAAAAGTTTATTTAATTTACAAAAATAATAATGACTGGTCTGGTCATGGTCTGGCCGGCCAGTTCTGACTTTTGGAAAGCACCCTCACTGTTGATGTTGCTGAGATAAGATTCAAATTACGTCAAACTTTAATGTTGACATGGTGGCAAGCAGCCACTTTTTAAAGATTAATGATGATGTCAACTCAAATAAAATTATAGTAACCATACTTTTCCCGAGAAGCCATCTTGCTGCATCAGCTTTGTGTTGGGCCAGTTGCCAGTCAGTCTCTGACACTTGATATTTGGAAGGTACCAGATCCTGACGAAAGTGATATTGTGGCCACCAATCAGATCGGTCGTTCCAAAGCTCCTCCAAACTATTCTTCTCATGTGTCGCAAAATACATGTGAAGAGTCTCAGCAAATGCTTCCCAATCTTTGATACTCTGCCGACAAGCTGCATGGTCGAGCTTAATGAAAAAAGCTGCCAGTGCATCAAGAAGTCCTTTTGATTGATCTGCAGAGTCGAAGAATAAAAATACATCTAGAAACCCACTTAATTCAGAAGTTAAGGGACAAGGTGTCCATATTCAGTAGGCTCAAGAAAATTTCTTTTTCAGGCACAAATAAGCAACAGAACAATGTAATGTCT